GAATTATTCACGTTAAATTTAATATAATCGAAACAAATACAAAATTTCACTTTGGATCGTTTTTAATCATTCTTTTAGTTATGAGTATTTTCAGGTTAAGTAATACAATAGATTAAATTAATAGATTATTTTCAGGTTAAGTAATAAAATAGATTAAATACAAATATAAATAAGTAGACAAAAAAATGTTTACATACTTATAAGAGGAATTTGTCTACACCAAGCCCTATAAAGGGCTAAAACTTTCTTACGCGCTTCAGCATGATTAGAAGACAAAATAGGTCGAGCTTGAAGAGTAATCCGCGTAACCGAGGACGAAGCCATTTTGAATACTACGCATTCAAAGTAATAATAATTTTAAAAGGATGTAGTTACTAAAACGACGTCCATTAAATATTTAATGATCAATCTATACAATCATTTTGCTTATATTGATATATATTTGTCACGTTAATTTTCTTGTTTTTTAAAAATAAAAAATGTATTTGTGATGAATTAGCTTAAAAACATTATTAAGTTATTTCACATAGTTCATAAATAGATGTCACTACATTTATTATTTAAATAATATATATTAAAAATCAATCGTTTATTATATTAATTATACGAATATAAAATATTAATCTAAATTTTATATAAGTTCGTATATATTTTATATAGTTCATGCTACAATTGATCTGCGCATGCGCATTGATAAATTTAACCTTATTTTTCGTTAATAGTGCCATTAGATGTCACCTTTGTGCAATTTTTCAAGGCGCTTCATTTATTTGATAGAAAAACGATGCCAATCGAAATTATAAGTATATGTGTATATTTATTGTTTTTATTTCAGAGTAAATACGACATTCATATAGGATAAAAATTTAATTCGTTTTGTTCCTTCAATTATAATTATTTATAATTATTTTATTCTTAATAATTTATCGCGTAGAAATATTATATTCTCGTTTATTTATAATTTTACACATTTTGTTATCTACAAAGTTAGTTTCTATACGCAGCAATCTTCTTGTATATTTATATAATTGTAATATAACACAAGTACTGTTGAACTAATCGGCTGCATTCATGTAAATTATTAAGTTTAGAAAACTTTGTTAAATTATATTCGAAAGATAGTCGAGTAACACATTAATCAATATTTTGAATTGTCAAATAATTTTTTGAACGATATCTTGAATTAGGAATATTTTAATTTCTTTGTCGTATATTTTAGAAATTAATGTCATAAGGAATAAGCATAACACTTAGAGTGTAAGTAAAATATATTTTATTAATATATCATTAGTTAAAAAGGGGCAACTACTTCTATAATTTGTTTATGCATAAAACAAAGTAGCACAGTGGTTCCAATATCAACGATTACTAGTAAGCATGTTGCTATCTTAAATTTGTAGCAAAGCTTACTAAGTACTTTAGTTACGCAATTGTGTACTAGGATCAGTTAGAGGAACGTATGAAACTTGCATTAGCTTCTGTTTTGTAGTAGATCCATCTGCATGCTTATCCACTTGTAGTAGATCTTGAAATCTTTGGAAACCTTCAATGGCAACTACAGGGCAGATAAGACGACCTCCAGGAGCTAGCTGGTCTACCAACTACAGATATGCAAAATTGTAATAATCAAATATATAGAACATAGACATTTCTTCTTTATTTTTTCATACCTGTTGTGGAAGGGTTTCAGCCGCAGCTCCAACATGTATAGCATTGTAAGGCCCGTCAGCATCATGTCCCAATCTGCCATCTCCCACTAGTTGCATTCACAATGATCTGTTGTTAGTCTCCAGTCTATCTTTTATGATTACAGCAAAGTCACACAGTTGATGGACAGAGTTCCGTTTGATTCTTCGTGGTAATACCTACTCCACGTGGATAGATTACGAGTTTTTCACATTTTAACTAGACTTTTATTATTTATTATCCCTTGCCTTTTTTTTTACAGATATGCCTGATTATGATAGCGAAAAACAGAAACAGTTACAAAAGGGATGTTGTTTAGTTCTCGTTATGGCTCATAATCATAATCGTATGATATTTTTTCTTTTCCACGTAGTGACATTAGTCAAGCATTAATTTCAATAATCTTACCAATGAATTTAAGACGGCCATCTTTGAGAAAATGTGGACAGTCCTCCCGTACATTTCTTGTAGAAACTTCTATTAGCTCGGGAATATGCTCGATACCGACGATTCGTCCGCGAGGACCAACCATAAAAGCCATACAAGCTGATAAATATCCAGAACCTGAACCGACATCTAATGCCCTAGCACCATCGAAGAGTTGATCGGAGAGAATAGACAATGCATAGGCATGCTAAAACAAAGAAATAAAATCGAAATGTATCCTTTAATATGCAAAACAAAATAGATAGAATATTCAGAAAATATTTCAATCATCATATAATGTTTGTAAATATAATATTGTATAAAAAACAGGTTAATATATATGTACTCATTTACAAATGAAGTGGTTTGTATAATATATCTGGAAAATCTCCAATAACTACTAAAGATTTTTATTTAACATAACCAACAAAGAATGATAAAGGGGTTAAACTAATATCTCTGTGACGAAATGTCAGCGTTAATTCTTCTTAATATGAATCTCTAGATTATTTTTAATTTATTTAAAATGAGTTTTTAAGGAACATAAATTCACCTGAACAATTTCAGTTATCACATTTATTGAGATCTGATAAAGTAATGTGTGCTTAATCTTGATAGTGTCTTCTTGAAATGTAAATAACAAATGGAAAGGTAATCATAAGTATCAATATATTGACATTCCTTTATCTTCTTATTGGCACAGAATACTGACACAGTTGTGTCTTTAAGGACTTTATACGTCTTTATATACATTAATATAACCTTGATAAAGTATACAATGTTAATAAAATGTTATAATTTTAGTAATGTCATAATTCTGGATTTACAGAATCGAAGAAAAAAAAAAAAAAGAAAACAACCAAAAATTTACTTGCCATATGTGGAGCACTGATTGTAACGTTGTAACCAATTTTTCTAGGTCGATCAAGATATGGATCTGCTTCATGACAATATCTTGCTCTATCTACTGCAAGCATAGCAGCTTCTGCTCTAGCAGTTGCCAAAATGCCAGTTTCTAAAAACATAATTTAACTCGATATAAATTTCTTATTACTTATTAACACACATTACGTTACCTTTCAACTTGGTCACCATCTCTTGATTTGTCACACCATTGCAGTGCCATGCCATGCTCCACAAATGCTGCAATATCCACTATATATACAATATAAATTTTTTTATTAACAAAACAAGATTTATACATTATAGAAAGTTCTGATATTGTTCAAAGAAACATAAAATATACAATTAGTAACATAAAAATAATATTATTTGAACGTCTTCATAAAAAGAAAAAGTAACCGTAACCTAACAAATATCGTACAAAATAGATATCTTTCGTTTGACACAATGCTATATCTATAATTATATACAATTTTGAACTAGAAAATAATAATTAGAGCATGTTAATATTCAAATAGAAATATAAAAAAATATTCTTGAAAATATTACGAAACGTACCTTGTATTATTACAACTGTTTCTTGACAGTTAGCGACCCTTAGGGTGTGTTGTATCATGAATGGAAGCGAGTAGAGTGGTGGGGAGAAGAGGATCAGCTGATAGGAATGCCTTGATATCGATTTGGCCCGGGAACGACGTGAGACACACGTTTTTAATTCGTCAACGTCTCCACTTTGATCTTTCTTTTGAAGTAATTCTTAGAATAATTTCATAGTTCTCGCGAAAGTGTATCCGGAAGTCGAGTCAGGAGTTTCCGACGATCACTACGCTTTTCGTATGCGAGTTTATTTACAAAAAAAAAATGCGAATGATTGGTATAAATACTCTCGGAAACATCAGGAAAAAGGATCATTCATGATCATTTTAGAAATTTATGTTTTTCCACAATATAAGAAAATTCCTTTCTATCTAATGATTTCATTAAAAAAAGTGTCGTTCTTCGTTTTCTTTTTATCATTCAATGATTTTTCATTGATTAAATGGTTATATTATATTACCACGTCGAAAAATATTTGTATACATTTTTAAAAAATTATTTACTATCAATACTTTTCTGTTGGATTATGCAAGATCTTCAATTGATATAAGCAAATTTGAAAAATTCAAAAGTTCTCGTTTAAATCGCATAAATCTATATAAATCATAAGTTTGGAAAAAAAAGACCATTGTGTATCATGCGAGTGTTTGGAAATTTTAACGAGATACTTACATTCTCTCACACCAGTATTCATTCGTTAAAATTAACCATAAATGTGTCGTAAATAATCGTTGTAGAGTAACTCATAAATTAAACTTTTTCCGAGATACTGTGGAAAGATTTAATGATAAATCATCATTGCTGGAGATTTTTTAAACGAATTGATTTAAAACAAGCACCATAAGATCTTCCGCGTTCGTATGTTATGAATTCGTGACGATCGGAGATGTCTGGAAACGTTGAGAAGAAAAAAAAAAAGAATAAGAAGAAAAAGAAAAAGAAGGAAGAAAAAAAAATCTACGATTTTAAAACAAATAATTTATAAGATATTAGCCAAACATGAAATGTTTGATTTAAAAGATAACGAATATTTGCTATCGTCTAATTTTTAATATGCTTTGCAATTAGAATTTTTTTATTTTTAATTTCGTATTACTAATATAGACTTTGTAAATATATCAAAGTAACGATTTCATGGATAGTATAAATACAAACGTGTTCATTCTTAACATTTCACAGTCGAATTTCAATTTCCACACTTCAAATTTCGAAGTTGTGGAGGATTTCGACAAGGAGAAGAATAATTTTGTAATTAAAGTAGAACGTATTTATAGCAAATTAATTCATAGGAAACATCTATATTTTTATTATGAAATTATTCAAAATTTATTACAAATATAACGTGCAAAATAATGATATTTAATATTATAATTATATGAAAAAAATTAAAATTAAATCGTTTCATTTATAAACTGCATGATATTTATTTGATATTATAATGTTGTTATATTTTATTTATTTTAGAATAACAAGTATAAGTTTGACAAATTATCAAAGTTTTTTTCGTAACGGATGGGATGATCAAATTATGTTCCATTAAAGAATATTCGATTTTCTTAAATATCAAAGAACTTTTGCTCTTTCTTAAAATTCCCGTTATCCTCGCATAAATCTCTTTATTTTTAATTCATTACCGGGGAAAATTTCCCGAGGGAAATGTCCATTTACTTATCACATTCAATTCAATTCTTATGTTTATTTAATTTTATTCTTAAAATTAACTCTTAAGATGTTTTCGAGATGAAACTCTTCAATGTTAATTATTTTTTTTTACGAAAATTATTAAAAAGAAATATAAATGGTTAACATCTTAAGTTAGATATATTTGATTTTCAAATAAATTAATTTAAAATGATTAAAATAATACATATTTTTCTTTTTTCTTATTCAATGCACTTAGTTAACATCACATTAATTCACATAAATGACGATTATGAAAATGTCATAAGATAAAAGATTTTCGAGAAATCGAGATTTTATAAAAATTTATAAAAATCATAAAGAAAGATATTACCGCTCATTTTAATCTTAATTGATAATTAATATTATTCTTTGATCAAGAATCTTTACCAGGAAATGTTATAAGAAGTGAGAAAAAAGTAAAATAAAAGAAAGAAAAAATGTCATCAAAAACTAGAGAACCGATAAGAAGATACGTGAACATACACGTTTACGCATATTTGAACGCGCGTTCGCGTAGCAAGTAGATATGATAAAAAGTCATGCGCGTTCGGTTACAAGGGGTTGTCGATATCGGTATAAATTGACGTACAGATCGTCCCATGAAGCGCAGATAGTCGATCGCTCGGTTAAGAAACATAGAGAATAATAGAAAGAGAAAGATTTTCATTGATCTTTTTGAAGTATCTCTCAATCGATTTGATTATTCACAATGGGACTAATTCGAACGATCGAATGATCGATCTTAGTGTGCTTTCATTATAAGACTAATTCGAGTTTTGATTAATTGTCATCGTGAGTCATTATTGTTTTATATATTTCGGTGATAAAACCAAATTTTTTTTTTATCGATCAAGATCAAACTTTGTAAATCGGTTTTATCGTGCACCAAAAATTGACTAGTTCCCCGTTCTAAATATATTCAACATGATGAGGGATATCAAGGAGCGAATGGATGACCCAGGAAAGTTTCGACAATTTGTAGCAGCGATGGTTGGTGAGTACCGTTCTTAAAACTTTAAATTTGTTCTTATTTTATTTAACTTCGAAAGTCAAAGTGAGAATAAAGTGCTATAAAAGAGATATATCTAAAGAAAAAAGAGAAAACTTCGATGCAAAAGTTTTCGACAGTTTAAGACAAAGCTTTAGAAGAATTTGATGTCGAATTGAAAGAAAAAAATCAATGAGGAATTTTTCTTTTTTTCTTTTTATTTTTACAGTGAATTTAGCAGCTATGACATATGGATCAATGATCGGTTGGCAATCACCAATGTCACCACAATTACAAAGTGAAAACCCACCAGTTGGAACAATAGCAATGACAAACGAAGAAATTTCTTGGCTGAGTGGAATTATGTGTTTAGGAGGAATTATAACAACTCCAATGATGGGTCCATTATCAGAGAAACTTGGACGCAAACTCACGGGTTGTCTCATTGGCCTACCATTCCTAATTTGTTCCTTTTTAACGATCTTTGCAACCGAACAAATACATATCTTTATTGCACGTTTTTTCTCTGGTATCGGGGGTGCAGGTGCGCTCTTTTTAGTTCCACTCTACGTTTCTGAAATTTCCTGCGACTCGATACGTGGTATGCTGGGTAGTTTGGTCGTTTTAGTAGTGAACTTCGGAATACTGATAACTTACATATTAGGTGGATTCTTGTCTTACAATATCTGTAATATTTGTATCGCTGTGCTACCTGTGATCTATCTAGGAAGTTTTCTTTTTCTACCAGAGACACCTGTTTATTTAATTCGCCGCAATCGACTTCGTGAGGCTGATAGGTGAGTATTTGTTAATTTAATTCAATGATAAATACGTTGTTCTCGATAGATATCTTTTTTTTTTTAGAATTTATCCGATCAATAGAAGATAAAAATGTTGATTATATTCAGGGTTCAGTCGAAATGTAGGGATGAATATTCTATTATAGGTCTTTGATGTGGCTGAGGGCGGGACACCAATTGACGGTGGAGAGAGAGCTGTTACGTTTGCAGATCGCTGCGAAGGAAGCCGCAACATTATCTAGATCTATTGGTTTGAAGGATCTTTTCAGGAATAAAGGAACAATCAAAGGATTAGTGATTGGACTAGGCATCTTCGCTGGTCAACAACTTTGTGGTATATTCGCTATGGTAAGTATATTCACACAAAAATTGTAACAAACGAACTTTGATAAGCATTATCAAGAAAAAAAAAACAATGTAGAACAGAATTTGCTTGACTTCCATTGAATCTTTTTAACGTTATCGTCTCGATAGAAAGCATAAATCTATTGCAAGTATCGCTGCGTCTGGCAAATAAACATTGCGTTTTTAATATTTACTTGTCATTCCTTATCTAATATTAATAATTGATGACGACATTTGAAGATAGAGTCTATTCTAAATAATTCTTTCTTAATACAATTATCTAATTTACGTTTTGATTTACGAATAAATATAATTATAAGTAAGAGTTATTTATTACTCATTTATAAATCAACTTAATAAATGTAATATTTTATAATATTTCATTATTATTTTGCATAGATATTGAGTTGACTTATGAATCATTACTATTTTATTATATTAAATTTCTTACTTATAATTGCACTTATTTATGAATCAAATTTTATTCTAATAAAATATGAATATTTTTTTTTCACAGACAAGCTATACCGAGACGATTTTTCGTATATCAGGGAGTTCGTTATCACCGAACACAGCTGTGATCATCGTAGGTGCGATACAAGTTGCAGGATCTTATCTATCAACTTCACTGATGGAACGAACCGGTAGAAGACCTCTCCTATTAATATCCTGTCTGGGGATGTGTATTTGCCATTACATACTCGGTATTTTCTGCTATCTTCAAGAACTAAATTATGACGTTTCTACGTTTGGTTGGATACCTGTGATAGCTTTATCGGCTTACATGATCACCTATTGTTTGGGTTTGGGTCCTGGACCCTACGTTATTTGCTCTGAAATATTTGATCAGGACCTCTCCAGTTTGGCAATTACAGTAGCTCTCTTCTTTACTTGGATCGTTGCTTTCATAGTAGTGAAGTTCTTTGCAAATGTCGTAGATCTGTTTGGCATGTACGGATGTTTCTTTATTTTGGGCACTTCCTGTATTTCAACTTTTATCTTCATTTACATTTTGGTACCGGAAACGAAGGGAAGATCGCGAGAAGATATTTTAAATGAATTAAATGGTGGAGATTCTTGGGCTTCGACGATCGCTGATGTCAAGATTTCATCAACAGATGCATGACATTCGTTAAAGATTGCTATTATTGAAAAGAACATGGACGTTTTCGTAAATGAGACGAATCTTCGAAATTCCTTGGATAATAATGAGTAAAAATCATTGAGAAAGTGAAAATTGATTTGTTGGCTGTGCAATGAGTGCTTCATTAATTGTTATGTATGAAGTGTATTGATCGGCTGGACCGATATTTATGAATCAATTTTTCGAACTCTGTACAAAGAATATTTTACTCTTAAAGAAGTATATATATATAAAACGATAATATTTTATATCAATAATATAAGTATAGATTATATAGGATAAGTAAAATGTGATTGAAGGATATCGAAAAAAGAAATATTCGTGTGGTATTGACAAGTCACGTTATATTTGAAACGATATTGTATTTTTCCTCAAAAGTATTCGTTCTAAAACGTATGAACACAGTGTTTAGATGAATGTTTCAATGTTTTCCATAATATGGTAAAAAAAATCTGCGATAATAATTATTACAAGTATTTTATATTTGCATCGATCCATTTTTTTTATCTTTAACTTTCTTTCTATTTATTAATTATATATCCGGAAAGAGCTTAATATACATACATACATACATACATACATACGTATATACATACACACATACACACGCGCACACCTATACACACGAAAATTATTATATAAGTCTTAAGAACATGTTAAAATATAATAAGTAATAATTTTGTTTTTCTTTAAGAGTACTTTGTGATAGCAGGAATTATACTACGAAGAAATGTACAATTTTCTATTTTTACTAAAATTTGACATTATTACAGTTCCTTTTAAATTTTTATTAAAAAGTACGTACAAAGAGGATTCTCATTATCTATCTTCGAATCGAAATATACGCAAAATATTTATGTAGCAAGATCAATCGTCTTCCAACCTCTTTCGTACATTTTTATTTCCTATCTTCCGTTTTTTGAAGATCCTTAACGACGAACCCTCATCATCGCTATCTCCTGTCGATATAGTTGTAATAGTTTTCTCTTTGAAGATTCTTTGAGGCGGAGGTGGTTCGGATTTTTCGAAAATAGGCAACTGTATCTGCTTTTGCTGCGGCAATTGAAGATCTACAGGTTTCCTTTCTCTGAAAAAAATAATATTGTTACTAAAAAGGCAATATATATATAGAGAGAGAGAGAGATAGAGAAAGAGAAACATTAGAACATTTCCAAAAAAGTTTCCGTTTTATAAAAAAATATTTACATGACTTTTACAGTCTCCCAGGATCCATAAGGCTGCTGAAACTCAGGAATACTGTAATCCCTTCTGTAAGGTTTCTCTTCTTCTTCTTTCGACTCTTGTTTTACAATAATCTCTTTACTGTCTTCCTCTTTAATTTGTACTTCTTGTTTTCTTTGTTGCTGCTTTCGCAATTCTTTCATTCTTTCTCGTTCGGCATTAGCCCTTTGTTCTTCAATAAGATCGGCTTTTTCAATCTCCTCTTCCTTTTTTAACTGCTCTAAAAGTTCTTCCTGAAGAGCTTGTTCCTTCACTTCCTCTTCTTGCTCGGCAAATGTCATATAACCCTCTTCTGGAGGTTCCCAGACTGATTCTAGTAATATGTGGAAGAAAAAAAATATTTTTCAATTATGTTGATTTCTTTTTCTTTTTTTATAACTAAAGAAGATATTATTTCAATAAGAAAGTGATTGAGTAAGAAAATAATAAATTGCAGGATATACTTATATATAAACATACACACAGAGTGTTCCATTCGAAATTCCGCATATAATTATTTTCTAAACTACAGCTTGTTTCAAGAAATGTTTCAAATAAAACTTACCCTCTTTCGGTGATGGGGTGGGGAGAAGAGTGAGAGAAATCATCTTATTATGGTTCAAAACTTCTCCAAGTGGACTATTTCTAAAATTTCAAGACTATCTTTGTTTTTTTATATGGAACTATATGTTTTTATTTAGGTAGGTTTATTTAGGTCAATAAATTCGTCTTGGAATGAGTTGCACGCTTACCTAAATAAAAACATACAGTTTCTATATGGGGAAAAAACAAAAGTCACTTTGAAATCTCGAAAGAAGAATTGTAATCACCATAAAATGCCGCCTCTCTCCCTATATCCCGAAACAAAGTAAATTTTTTTTTTAAAACGAACTATAGTTTGAGAAACAATTGCTTGCGAAACTTCGAATGAAACGCCCTGTGTATACATATATATACATATACATATATATCTATATATATATGTATATACGTACCATTAGTTTCTATGTGCCAGTAGTAAGTGTATCCTTCGGGACTGAGAGCCTCATACCAAAGTTTCCTGACGGCTTTTCTTCGTCCATCGTCCTCTTGGGCCTTTTTTTTTTTCCCCTTTCCTTTACTTGCTTTATTCTTCCCTTGAGTTTTATTCTCGACGCTGGTACTTTGCTGATTCTTCGTATGCGACAACCTCGTCAAAGCCGTTGGATCGCAAGGATCAATTTCTTGGGGGAACTGTAAACGATTTCAACAATAAAATGAAGAAAAAAAAACAAAGATATTTGTTATAATAAATTGTAAAGGTTTTTTTTTTTAACTTTTTTGACTATTCGATTGATATTTTTCGTAGTCTTTTCATATCTCACGATTTACAGAAAATCTATTCTAATCCATCATTGTTCTAATATATTAATATCTCAATAAGACAAAAATATATTATGTACTCACGTGTCGATAATTATTTTGTTTGAATCTCGGTACTGTTTCCGGTGCAGCTTCTGGCATCGAATTCGCATTTTGTGGCGTCTAAGTGTAAACGAAAAATCATACAATTATTTTAATTATACAAACTTTAAAATAACAAATTTTTACGTACTTTTAGGCTTTCCGATCGATTTAGTTTTTCTTTTATTATCCTGTCAGCCGTCATATCTCTCGTATTGTTTTCAACATCTTTGAGATAAGCAGCCATGGCAGCCTATCAAAAGTTAATTAAAAAGAATTTCTTGATTAATTAATTTATTATTTTATGAAAGTTTTTGTTATGTTTATACAAAGCATCTCATTAATATACGCACGTTTTCCATCTTCTTTAGATCATCTTCGAATTTTTTGTTTTGTTTTGCCTGCTTCGCGCTGTTCTTGTGTATTTCCTTGAGTCTTTTACTGACATTTTCTTTGTGCTTCTTTCCGCCCTCGTGGAAGTCGATACTCGGTTTATTGTCAGCGATCCAACATTTACAGAAGTCACAGAATTTCCGTCCCTGGGACTTCCAATAATCAGCCCTGCAATGGACACATTATTAAAGATCAATTTCCTTAAAATCTTTCTTTAGAGAATATCTACAATTTTCCGTGTTTACAAATATTACTATGTGTCTTCTACATTTCTCAAGATATACCGATTCGATCTAAATTTCAGAATGTATATAATGCTATAAACGTAGACATTCTCTGTCGTTTGGTAACATCATTGGCTATAAAATTCTGCAAAGGCTTTTACGTTTTTGACCTATAATAATTTCCTCTACACCCCCTCGTATTACTGTGATCCATTTACGTGCATATGCTTCGTTGTCCCGTACGTTATGATCGACCTCGTTTCTAATTTTATTTAACTCGTTAATGCATATCTAGATCGTAAAATTTGCAAGTTCTCTTTTGTCCAACAAAAATATTTTTTACAGTATCTTTGTAAGAATGAGAAAGAGAGAGAGAGAGAGAGAGAGAGAGAGAGAGAGAGAGAGAGAAAATAAATATTTATAAAAATGTATACTATTCAAATAATATAGAGAATGGAAATATATTTATATAGCGCCTGTTTATGCATCAACATATACAGTGTTAAAATAGTTGGTTTTCTATAATTTGAAAACTAATAAATAATAAACTACATAATATTTTAAACTCGGTTACGTCGAAAGGATCATTGACCTTCAAATTATCAAAATATACGTCTGTTTGATTTGTAAGTAATGTATTTGTATAACATGGAGTATAACATTGCAGTATAGTATAAATTAATCAGTCAGTCGTTAAAATGCTGATTATCTCGTAAACGATGTATAGTAGCAATTTTTAATTAGACATGATTTTAATTGAAAATGACCGCCACATAAATATGTTAAAAAAAGAAATTATAAGTATCAAATTAAAAGAATTACATCGATCTGAAAAAAGTCACGGGAAGAAAAAAAATTGTTACATATAATTGACTCAGAATCGTGCAAATTAATTAAAAATTTTCTTGTAACTTCAATTAACCGCGAAATATTTGCTCGGACATTTATAGACCGACATCCTATATATGTGCTATCGGAGTAAAAAAAAAAAAAAAAAAAAAAAAAAAAAAAAAAAAAAAAAAAAAAAAAAAAAAAAAAAAAATAGGAATAACAGAAATCGAAGATTCTGTTATTGAATTTTTAGATTGCTTTTGCATTAACATCGAAAACTAATTTGTAAAAATGTCGTCTCCGTTAATTTAATACTAATTTCACGATAAAGCAAAAAACTTTTCAACGTAGTCTGTTCCATTGTAATATGATATCTAAACGTATAAAAGGAGCCAATCTAACGATTCGTACCACACGCTAATCAGCACTTCATACTGCACTTTATGCAATGTTATTACAAGTATGGCCGTCGCGTAATGCGATGTCTACGTGCTATGACCATAAAAGAGAAAACGCAGGAATCCTTCTCTCATACAAAATCACGATGTCGATGGTGAATACGTGACTCTCCGATAAAGTACGTTAAAGTGCAATTAACAGTGATCGAAGCTATCAGGTAGTCATATAGGACGCGTTAAAGTTTTCATGTTGAAGGAGAAACTTTTTGTTAATGTATTTCCTTCTGACTTCGCTTGCAATGCATATTAGAATCGTGATAGAAATTAAAATTATATGTTTGTTTTTTTATTTGAACGATACGTACGGTATGTACGTAAGAAATCGTGCATATATTTTCATTTTTAATAAATCGAAAGGCAACCTGTTCAAATAATTAAAATTTTATTCTTTTATTCTTTATGAGAAAAGAAAAAAAAATATTTAAAACATGAACAATCATTGTTTGATACAAAATAAAAGATAAATTTTTTTCTTTCGAACGTTTTGGAAAAAGAATAAAATAGACAATAATGCAATAACGATAACAAATCTCTGTAAACATGGAATAGTAAATCAAGAGGTAAAATATTTATCCGAACTCAAATGTTTCTTCGTACGCCAGTATATTTCATTTTACGTAGACAGTTAAAGAGAGATATACTGTCTATCCAAAAGGTAGAGAATAAAATCTCGGAGAAATTTTCTCACAGATTCAACGGTAACAATCTCCTCTGGCAGTATTATGCTCCTCGCCTAATTTAAAGCAGTAGAAAGGTGAAAGGTGAAACGTAGGGGGAAGGAAACGTTGATAAACCAAGAAAATTCTTTTCTCGTGTCCAAAGAGAAGTGCGAATTAGTTGGCAATTAACCGTCGACCTTACTCGACCTGAAGTACTTGCACTTGGCCTTCGCATCCTCGTGTGTATGTGTGTGTGTATTATACTCAGAAAAAGATTAAGAGATTCGGTGACAAACGAAACGAGTAAGAGACAGAGAGAAAGAGAGAAAAAGAGAGAGAGAGAGAGAGAGAGAGAGAGAGAGAGAGAGAGAGAGAGAGAGAGAGAGAGAGAGAGGAAGAGAAGAATGCAAAAACATTTGACTCGACGAAATTTTAGCTAACATAAAAATGTATATATCCGGTAATTTTCGGATGCCAAATGCATTTTCAAGATCATAGTACGAGTGCCAATTACGAGAAGACAATTAGGAATCGAATTATCGTTTAAAGAATTCGACTTGGTTATCGGATTAAAGTAGCAACGAACAAGACACCCACGAAATGAAAAAGATACATATACACACATAAACAAAGAGACACATATACACGATATATAAAAGAAGAAGGAAACTCGATTGCGGTAATATACGTCGAAAATAAAGATAAATTTTTATTAACGAAGAAGGAAGAAAGAAGAGATAAAGTTAGAATTGGATGAACCGGTAAGTTTTTCTTCATCTCACGTACGGTGTACCTACTATTTACTCGAACAGAGTTTAATCTTTCGGACGAGAGAGAAATCTCATTTATCGATTATTCTTCAATCCGTTCGCCTACATTTACGAGCTCGTTACGTCGAAATTAATCATGAATTGCATAATTTCTCGATCGAAACATAATCTCGTGAATTACGTATAATACGTTTTCAATTATATCGTATTGCTTTGAGATGTAATCATACTAATATAAATGACTTGTTTTTGTTTGTTTTTCTGGAAACGATAAAATACAACATTAATGATGAAAAACGGTTACTTTCAATCAAAGTTTCGTCACTTCGAAAGATGATAAATATGTACCATAATATTATCGACGATAAGAAAACGTTGAAACGTCACTCTTTTATAACGATTTAATTCATAAGAATAGATCGTGACAGGAGGTTCCATTAAAGCGAGCATCGAAGAATTACGATAATGGACGAGCGAACCAGTAAGCTCAGATAAGATCTCGCGAGATCAATACTCTAAGTTTCAAGGCGCACGTTGCTTGGCCAATTTCCAAAATAGCTACACACATCCACTCGTTTCATTTCCTCTTTTTATATGCTCGACTCATTTTCTCTAATTCAGCCTTGGATGTCCTCGATGCGTACGCGCGATGCATACGGTTAGATTCACGTTAGTATACTTTAGAAACTATCTGTGTATCTAAATTTACTAGATGTATGATTTCGAACTAAACATTTCGAGATCATAGGCTCTACCACTGCTTTGCCAGTCTGGTCTTTTCGTTTCACTCGCTTTCGCATATAACTCGACCGTAGCAACAGGTTTGATTCCGCTACGTGCAAGCAAAATCGATAATCACCGAACGAAACCGATTTATATGTATAGATATCAGGATAAATTTTGAGACAAAATGAGACGAAGCTAATCTTTTAATCCTTTAGGAATACGTAGGAATAAAGATTCTATTTTTTTTTTTTTTTTTTTTTTTCCTTTAATATTCTCCTTTAGAACGAGAATTTCAAGCTGCGGAATTTATTTCCTATATTCATTTTATCTTTATCACGTTAATGAACAAAGTAATTTTATATAAATTAATACATTTATCTCCAATAGATATTATAAATTTTTTTAAATAAAAGATACAAGAGAAATTATACTTATTATTAGCAAGTATACTTTTAATCTTTCCAATATCATAAAAGATATCTTTTATGATATTGGAAAAATTAAATATGAAAACATTTTACATAAAAACTTACAAAATTAAATACCGGTTATTGGTTTTAGTTTAACACTAAAACTACAGATCTATTTTTACCATATCAATATGACGAATATTTGGAAAAAATAGTTCATCCGTTATTATGTTTAATTCATTTTATTCGTTATAAAAATGAATAAAGAAACACAACTTTTGGTTAATATATTTTTAATGATTATGATTTTAATAATTATAAAACACAAAATTTTTAATACGTCCCTTTTGATAGGTTTAGTAGTCTAATGTTAATAATTTACGTAATAAGCGTATAATGTCAAACGGTAATATGTAATTCTATCTTCAAAACAAAAATTTTGTACTCGTTGTTTACTACAAGAGAATCATTTATGACGCGGAAATAGTCAAATTTCTCTTAACCTAAACATTTACATAGGCCGAATAGATGCGTCACAAAATTGTACGAGTTCGTATTTGAAGTGCGTCGTAAAAATAAGAGACTCGGTTGAAGTGTACTAATGATGCATCCATAACTAGCTTGCTAGGCTAGGTACCTGATGACACTATCTATAGAACCGTGCCACTATTAATACGGTCTATTATTAATAGAGCTCGGTCTTGGGACGGTTGTGATTCCTCGATGCAATTTGCATCGTCCCTTTGCTTGTCAAAAGGCGAGAGAGGCACGTCACATTTCCCACGCAGGTCAAATACGCGATAATAAGGGTAATAAAATAGAATCTTCTGGCTATTCGACTTGGCATACCACATGCCAAAAGTCTTTTGTCGAACAACTTAGTGATCTTATCGTTTATAACATAAGAAAAATTACAAAGGATTCTTGAATTCATTTAAATGAATTAATTTAATAAATATTAAATGTATAAGATAATTTTATTGATTTTCATTTTTCAAATTAAAAAATTAAAAAAAAGAAACAATACTACATAAGTGTGCGCACGTGCGGACGCCTGTATACGCATATGTATATTTACAATAAAGCATAA